TGCCAGAAGGCGCACGGACCTGGAGTGTCCAGAGCTAGAGATGATGTGGATCGAAATTACAAGTAATAGGCGAACCACTGTTCTCGGGTGTACATATTGCCCACCAAACAAACCTGTATCGTACTGGGTTGGCTTTGCGAATAACATTGAGCAAGCTTGTCAAGGACGGCAACATTCCACAGTACTCGTTGGTGACTTTAACGTGGATTTCAGCATGCCTGGTAATGCTGCCGACCCTCTTCAGCATATTCTGATGAGATTTGATCTGAAGAATTACGTATCCTCTGCAACACGAGTGACAGCACATTCCCAGACCATTCTCGACCTTTTCCTCTCAACAACAGCTATAAGTGGAATATGTGAAATAATTTACCTCGATATAAGTGATCACTATGCCATACTCGCTCATCTACCGATTCCGTCTAAACCTGCTCGCAAGAAAACATCAACTGTCACGGGTCGTCGTCTCCATCAGATTGACTGGGGCTGCTTTCAAACTGATTTACATGGCATACTGTCTGTCGGCTTCGATGATCAAGATGTTGACTCCATGACAACTTCCTTTAACAATGCTATTCTCTCCACCCTTGACCAACATGCACCCATCACCACCCGCCGCCGTGCAGACCGGCGTCCATGTCCCTGGCTGACTCGCGAGCAGGTTGAGTGTGTCCGGAACCGAAACAGACTGCACCGCCGTCTAATGCAAGAGAGAGCAAACTAGGCACTCCAGCAGGAGCACCGAGCTGCAGGTGCCGAGGCCAGAAAGCTAGATAGACAGTTGAAGAATGCTTACTTTATGGATAAACTAGGCACTCCAGCAGGAGCACCGAGCTGCAGGTGCCAAGGCCAGAAAGCTAGATAGACAGTTGAAGAATGCTTACTTTATGCTGAACGAGTGCGAGAGGTGGAGATGTCGGGTTTCAATCCACTTGTCCTGGCAACATCTGGTGGTATGGGTCGTGCTGCTGCTGCGTTTTATCGGCGGCTAGTTGTCCTTATGGAGGAGCGTGGATCGTTTGTGTATCATACCCATATCTCGCTTATCGGGAGCCGTCTGGCCTTTGCTTCATTGCATTTTAATATCATGTGTCTCCGGGGGGCCCATTCACCATTTCCCTGACATAGGGGGATGGATGACGCCTCTCCAGATGTTCCTGTTGCCTAAGCCCGCCTTGTTCGCAACTAGCTAACACGGGTAACGGATACCGACTGATCAACAGAGACTATCTTAAAATGGAGTTGTCATTGTGTGCAGATTGTAAAGTTTCTCTTTCTTTTTAATAAATTTTAGTTTTTTTTTGCTTTGCAGTTGTTCCCGCGGTCAAGCCAGTGAAATCATGTTCTGTGATTGCCTGTATAAAGCGGGATTCACAGAAACCTTTTTGTGATGCGATACGCCATGCGACAGGCGCGAAACCGGGAAAACCCCAAACCGCTGCCATGCCGCACCCCACGCAACTGCCGCAACTGGGCCATCGCAGGCCATCGCAGAAGTTGAGCTTGGCTCAACTTTTGCGATGCGATGCGATGCGACAAGCGATTAGGCGTACGATTTTGACCTTTTCTACAGCAAAGTTGTACAAAGGTTCAAGAGTTGCCTATAAATTTGTACAAGTTGTATCAAACCGCGCGAATATCATGGTGACGTAGCCAAATCAGCAAGATGTTGTCGCATCACTGACTTGTTGTTGTAGAAGTTTATTTAACGTCGCACCACAAACAGGCGATTTCGCCTCCTTTGATACATGTGGACGACAGAAGGAATGAGAGAGAGGGGGGACAGAAGTATGGAGAGAGGAAGGGTAGAAATAAATAAGCAATCAACCTCAGGGCTACACCAAAGCAAAAAAGGGAATGGGAACATAATATATACAAAATAGCTTCATACATATATTATTGCAAAAACACGTTTACTATTCGTCAGTCCGCTATACCACAGAAACACACAAGCCGAAAAGCATTTAAACGGAGCCATGATGCGCTTTTAGCAGGGCACAGAACTGAAGGTAGTTGGGCTCGGAACGGAGATCAGGCGGGAGCTGGTTCCACAGGACTGCGCCGATGAACTGCATGGTCGCTCGACCCGCAGGACCGGGCCAGAATGGTACTCGAACGAGGTGATGTGCTACTCCCCGAGTGCGGTCACCAGTAACTCTCACGAAGAAGCAGGTTGTTGTTGTTGTTTATTTATTTTACATCGCATGGCAAACGGGCAGTTCTGCCCAATATTATGAAAGCGATGACAACCAGTAAGAAGAGTCAGAAATGAAGAGAAAAAAAGAAAAAAAATACGAAAACGGAAGTAGCAATGAGGGGATGCAGGGTCAAGACGAGCAGAAAAAATGGATCTCAAATTTACAAGTCGGGTCATCGTAGCATGATTCTATCGAGTCTCATCAGCAGGTTACGAAAGCCATTACATTTAACCGAAGTAGAATACGCGTAGCATGCGTTTGAATTCACGGACAGATACTTTGGACTTCATACAGTCTGCCCGGCCATTCCAGAGTTGGCAGCTGGCTAGAAGCGGTCGGCATGCGCAAAAAACACTGTGGGCCAGGGGGAGGGGAAGGTCGCGTCCCAATTGACCTCGAGTGGTCATGCCTGTCGGCGGGCCTTGCAATACAATTCGGGACGACAACAGCTCACTGACGATTCCAGAACGGATTCTAAATGTCAGGAGTCGGAGCTTGCATTCCCCTCGTTCCAGCACTGGGCAGACACCCAGCTTGGTGTACAGGGGAAGAGTGTGGGCCAATGGGTGCTCATCGGCCACGCAACGGATGCAACGTATATCCAGTTTGGCTACTGTGTCCCGCTGCTCAGCGGGCAGTCCTGGTGAAGAGGGAGCTAGCTCGGGAGAACAAACAACGACGGACAAAGATGAGGAGCTTAATGTTAAACATGTCCTCCAGGGTGGTGAGGCGGAGCTGTTCAAAGATCGGGCTCGTGCGCGACCACGGTGGCAGACCGAAGAAGCCGCGGATAGCGCACTTCGTTAGACGTGTGAGGGGCTCCATGTTGCCAATTTGAAGTGACGGATAAAAGGCGTTGGAAGCGTACGACAACCTACCCTGGATCATCGACCTGTAAAACAGGATCTTTGACGCCAGGGTGAGGCTTCGGCGGCTCCGCCACAGCGCACCTACTGACTTCCGCACCTGCTGGATTGTGTGATTGACGTGAGGCTCCCAGGAGAGCTGCCCATCTACCATTAAGCCCAAGTACCGCGCTTGTTCCACAACTGCAAGGGCTGCATTCCCACAGCGAATTCGAATGTTATCTGTGTCAGGGGCTGGGCCTCGTGGGGTAATCAACAGAGCTTGCGTTTTCTTTTGGTTCAGCATTAGTCCGTGGTCCTCCAACCACTGCGACTGGCCAGTGATGGCTGTGCTAAGGGAAGAGCACACTTGTTCGCAACTGCCCGAGGCTTCAATTGCAATGTCGTCTGCTGACTTCTTCTGTGAATGGTATTTTGCGAGTTCGCATCGCACGCGTCCGTCGCAGATCGCGTCGCATCGCGTGTCGCATCGCAAAAAAAGCTTTTGTGAATCCCGCTTAAGAGACTTTAACAAAATAAATAAAATATATAAAAAATTAACAAGCCATTAGGCCCTCCCTGCCATGCACTAACAAGCCATTAGGCCCTCCCTGCCATGCACTAACAAGCCATTAGGCCCTCCCTGCCATGCACTAACAAGCCATAAGGCCCTCCCTGCCATGCACTAACAAGCCATAAGACTCTCCCTGCCATGCACTAACAAGCCATTATGCCCTCCCTGTCATGCACTAAGGCCCCAGTCACACCGAAACAAGCCAGTTTGGGCTTGTTATCGCTGGCGCTCAGCTGGCTTGCGTGGTCCCTGTGACGCGGTCAAACCAGACCTTGAGTGCAAAGCTTGAATGGCTTGTTTTTCTTACCCGCTAAATTTTGAATAAAAAAACACCCCAATGTTTTCAAGAAACCGGAAAGCAGAACGTTCGCGATCTAAAACTGTACTTGTTCTAGTGTTCAGTTTTGATGAAGAAGCAAAGGAAGCCCGGATTCTGAATTGCGACGTCGTTCTCTTTTTATTTGTTCGGTGTGCATGGACGTGATGGTTCGGGTGGTGTTTCCTGATGTCGAGCTTTCTGCCCCGCCGGTTGCCGTCTTTCAACTCAGTTGCAATCCACTCTCTTCTTCGTAACCGTCTTTCTTCATGAAGTCGGCCGTGAGTGTGGTGCCTTGTCTTGGTCTCAAACCACAGGTCCCACAATCTCCGCAGCGGTCTAGAGGCACAGCGGCAGAAATCCATGGTCGTCGGCCAAAATGCAAATCAAACTGAATACAGTGTAGTTGGATAGACAGACTCACGGTCAAAACAAAAGGCACAGGGATAGCACGGTTCCCCGGACACAAGAAAGAACATCAATACATAAAGAAAGAACATCAATATCAGTTCATCATGTCAACTAGCTACGTGGTGTGCTCCAAGCGCACTCAAATTATTTTTTGAATTTCGGATTTCAGCCGCTTCTACAAGCTGCGGCTGCAACAAGTCGAAAAAACCCGGCTGAGATTCAGCCACGGCTGAAAATCGCTTGTACGACATTTTTCAGGCATTGCCATGGTAATAGTGACGTAAACAAGCGCTTTTTCGGCTGAACGGCTGAATCGAGGTCGGTGTGACCGCGGCCTAACAAGCCATTAGGCCCTCCCTGCCATGCACTGGCATTAGGCCCTCCCTGCAATGCTGTAGCAAGCCATTAGGCCCTCCTTGCCATGCCCTAAAAAGCCATTAGGCCCTCCCTGCCATGCACTAACCTAAACTTAGTGCGTGTGGAACGTGCATTATAACCAACTCAACCACGAGGGTCAAGTAAACACCTGGTGTGAGAGCCGAAATGTGCAGTGCACAATGCAGGGTCAAGGTAACAATGGACATTTCCCGTACACTGGATATGTTTCTATACTAGTTACGCGCATTTTAATATTCAGAACGGCTACGGAGCCTCACTCCAGATTTATGAAAATGCAATATTTTAATTGAAAAGAACCCAAAGCTAATAAAATGTGTGTCAAAAACATGATGAAAACAAAGCAAAACAAAACAAGCAAAAGGTTCTCTATGTATGCAATACTTTAAAACACTGCAGGAACGAAAGGCAGGCGCAAAAGGGAGGCAGGCGCAAAAGGGAGGCAGGCGCAAAAGGGAGGCAGGCGCAAAAGGGAGGCAGGCGCAAAAGGGAGGCAGGCGCAAAAGGGAGGCAGGCGCAAAAGGGAGGCAGGCGCAAAAGGATAAATGATATTCCAAGTACACCGCTTGGCAAGTGAAACGTTAGATTGTAGAGTTTTGACCAAAAAATCTACATAATAACAAGTCAATACATGACGGTGTAGGTGCATTTCATGAGCAACGTTTACAAAATGGCGAGGAGCAGGCGTCATAAAAATACTTGTAGATTCCAAATTACTATTGAGCGCATTGGACAGCGAAAGGAAAAGTAGGTGAGCACTACAAATCTACTTGGAAAATGTCCTTTTGACATGTTATGATGCAGAACTGGGTTATTGAAATACATGCGCTAGTTACTACACAGTTCTTCAACGTGAAGAGTGGCTACCAGTCGGTTAACACTATTGTAACTGTACCCATCATACATGTAATAGCTACTAGAGTACCGGGTGAATTTTGTGGATAACTTGAGTGGACCAGCAGTGTTGATATTACATATGCCACTGATAGAACCAGGAGTCACAGTGCGATCAGCACCACTGGACGCATAGCCGGTTACACCACTTCTAATAGGACCAGGATCTTGACACTCCGCGTTGTTGATGAGAATAGAGATAGTGAATGAATTCCAGGTGCTAGTACGCTGAGAACCGAATGCTGACGTGTAGGTTACCCGCAACACAGTGTCACTGCGTGTCTTGTTGTACATCACATTCCATGATGGTAAAGAGGAGCTTCCTGTAGTTTGTCTGAACGACTTCCACGCCACTACACCACACTGTACAAGTGAACACATTGATACACAGTCCAATACTTGATCATCAATAACTGTAGTGACACACATATAGCAGACAATCTCGTAGTCATGTGGCCTGGTTAGCCTGCTTATGTAATCCAATACTATCCAGAAATAATACCCCACAATATGTTAATATTACTTCTTGTGAAAATGAAGGAAGTAACGTTCTGGGCATTGCAAAAATATACTATGTACATAGTGGACTGGATCGATATTAGTGCGAGTGTTTACCTTTGTCTATGCCGATGCATTGATCATTTCTGTCTGACTTAGTGACCCTAGGATATACTGCCCACGTTCTCGGTGCGGCGATGGTAAAATAAGTGCATGTGATTTATCAACCTTGTGATTAATAATAGAACATTGACCTGGAATTGATTTCTGTTTAGATGGAAAAGGCCTAGGAAAAGGCTTCGGCAGTCGGTCTATATTACCTCTGTCGACCTCGTCTAAATCATACTCTTAGTTGCATAACCAGCTCGGTTCACAAAATGCCCGACTTTATTCAAAGATTGACCTTGCTTGCTTCAAAGGCATACCAACTCAGTTCACATGGGTCTCGCAAAGATTGAAAAACGGAGCGTTAAGTGTTGCTCACACTATAATATTTAGGACAGCACCATGGAATATAATTTCTTCCTGCTGCAGATAGAAAATAATCCTTGATAAACCCCTCATACCCATTGCATAATCCATTCCTTTTGTTGCGAAACTCGATTCAACTATTTCACCTGCAAGGACGTTGAGTTTCTCGCACTCGGACATGATGTTTTCCAATGACTTTTAGTTTCTTAAAAGGTGTTCAGCGAATTGGATGCACCTTTGCTAATATGCGTGGTGTGGGTCTTTCTTTCTTCAATTTCCTTCCTTTTTCTGTACTGCAAATTTAACCTTGTCTGCTTCCAACTATGTGCACCCACATCGGCATCAGTTACTTCATTCGCATTCCTTCCTTTTTCTCGCACACTCCTCTTTACTTCTTGTTTTGAGTTGTGGGTCGATTTGGTTTATGCTTAACCAGGCCAGGTGATTCTTGCACTATGCTTGTCGTGTTTATCTCAGTTAGAGCACTCCGATTTCTATGCCTTGAACCAATTTGTAACTGCCTTTGTTTTTCATTAGATTTCTTTGCGATCGATTCGGCTAAGAAAATCTGAGCTCCGCTGAGATCAAAAAAGATCGAAACGCTTTGTCAAACGGAGATTGAAGGTGATGCTCCCTCGTCTCAGGCTTAGTTGAGCAGTTTTCCCGTTAGTCTCAAAGTTTTGTTCCTTGCATAAGGCTCCATATGTTTATAGCAGTTGTAGCACCCGGACATTCATGCCTTTAGCACGTTTAAGGATCGTTTTGGCCAATAACTCTGAGCTCAGCTGACGGGTTCCAACAAAGTCGAAACAGCTAGCTCTCTTGAGATAGAGTATTATGCTCCCCACCCTGCCTTGGTGTACCATTATTTCTGGTTAGCGCCAATTTCATATACCATCGTGCAAAGCTTTCTGGATTTACTATAGTTAGATCACTCAATCTTTACTGAGGCTTTCCTCTGGTTTAAAAATTCTTGTTGTTTATTAGAATTCATTGCGATTAGTTTGGCCAGCAGCTCTGAACTTTCCTGATGTACACTCTTGGTATGTTGGTAACAGCAGGCATCCAAGATGAAGCTACAGGTACCCTACAATGTGGATCAGAAGCGCTTCTCTGGATTTGTGCGTCATCACAGGCTACTGAACAGGGAGGCTTCTACTGTAGATGTGTGCATTATACCATGAGCATGAGGGGCATACATCGAATGATGGTGAATATTCTCATGAGTGCGATAGCATGAGGGAAATATAAGGGACATGTTATACACGGGGCACGAATGGTATAATCCACTTATCCTCTCTTAACATCCCAAATATAGAGCGTAACAAACACTAAAGCTGCCTTACTGGGTACTGTAGAACTGGTAAATTTAGCGACGTCAAAACCCTAGCGAATTTAGCGATCTACTCATTTTCGCTAAAGTTTCAAGTCGCTAATCCGTTGAGACATAGTCGTGCACTGGTGATCCGTGAGTAAAATCGCTGCAAATCGCTGAAATAAAACGTCGCTAACCGGTTGACAATGGGAAAACGCTAAAATTACCCGTTCTACAGTATTTACTTTTGGCGTGAACGTATGTGAACCGCTCGGGTATGTATTCAAACCAAACGAACCCATTGAGGTACATCGCTGATCAGATCTACTCCACTCAAAAGCCTATGACTTGCGTCTCATTCATGAAATTACTAAGCAAGAGCAAATGTACTAGCTTGGCTCCTAGAAGCGTAGAAACTTACGTTGCTTTCTGTCACTAACAGCCGTCCTTTTGTACGATTAAGGTCAGCTGAGATCATGTCGGTCTTTGCTGTGAGAACCTTGGTTTTTGCAGTAATAACTTTGGTCTGTGCCGAAAGCAGGGTTTCCGTATGCCGCACTCTGCGTGCCATCTCCGAAATCTGCACGTGGTACGTTGTGAACACGCTGCTCATGGCTCTCATCTCTCTCAGCAGTTGATCAACCTTCTTGTCACGCGTACCCAGCTTCTTCTCAAGACTCTCTACATTCTGCTTCAGTTGCTTCACCTCCCTGCATAGAGGAGAGTTCGAATCGATGGCGCAGCTGTCCTCTGTCACAATATGCCACAGGAAATAGAGAAAATACCGAAATCAGTTTCCCATCATATACTGGTAATCGCTTCTCTGAATGTAAATGTTACTGCCAAGTCCCGCTGAAGCATAATGGCATTCTGAAGTGCCGCTTTCGCAATAGTGGTCGATATGAACTTTTCCTGGCCTTCGTCTGTGACCTCCCTGTTATCAACACTGGCGTGTCTCTGTTTGCAGACGACACATGTATGCTGCGCAGTAATCCCTCTGTTTCCCGTCTTATATTGGACCTCCAAGCGGGTATCACGGATATCACCTCATGGATGGCATTGTGGAAGCTATAGTCCGTTTCAAAAAGATTAGCAATCAGGTTTTATTATGAAGATGAGGGAAATTTAGACATAGAATGGCTTGTTAGGGCACGCAAAATTGTTCTGTGAAGGTTTCGGAACAATTGGACCAGACGTTAAGGAGTTACAATTTCGGCCAGGTTTCTGGCCTTTTCCCATGGTTTACAATTTGCCCTGGCAGCCAGTATCGATTTTTGTATCAAAACCCACGATTTATCCTTTCCTTTTTGGCCTTGTGGTAATGAATGCTGTCTGCTGACCGTGAAGTTGTGAGTTCAAATCCCAACCTATCCTCAAGTCAAACTTTTTTTCATTGTTTTGGTGATCAAGCTGGTCCAAGACAAAGAAAATGGCTGCACCAAACAACTTGTTGCTGGAGCTCGCGCTTCCTGCCGAACTGACTTACACTTTACTGGCTCACGCCATGTGAACACACCCACAACACTGAAATGGTGTGAGTGAATATAAAAAGTCACGGCATCGCGCTGTAGCGTTTTGAGATTTATTTTACTATTTCAAGATCGCCAATTTATTTGAATTTAGCAGTCAACGCCGTCTTCTATCAGCGTTCACAGGCGTCTGCTTTTCTCAAAATGTCGTCGAAGTCACACGGATAGCTTTGCCAAGTCATGGCCTTGGGAATGAGTCCGTGCCGATGTCGTTCTCGTCACACGGTGAGTAAATTGCATCGCAGCTCAAAGAAACTATTTGGTCACAAAACGAATTGGGACCAATGCCGCTCGTCAACATTTACAACACTTTCGTCTCGACATGTCCTCTCTGACTCCATTATCGACACGAGGAAGAACTCGTTTGTTGTAAACCAGACGTACATGACTGTATCAACGTGAGTGAGTTGCCATTTTCACTGCTTTCACGCGGAATATTTCTTCGAGTTCACAGTGAGGTTTTCCAGGCATGGCTCGATTGCTCATACGGTAAGACGGCAAACTCCGCGGGCGATCGCCAGGATTGCTACTCTTTTTGAAACGGACTGTAAAACCTAACGTCGGGAAGACCAAGGTAATGATCATTCCCCCTTTGTCTACTACCCTCTCCCTCGCCTAGTATTCCATTTCTCCACCACTCCCATAGAATATGTAGATCATCACAGGCATCTTGAGTTCATTTTTGACACCAATCTCTCATGGAGACAAATGGCCTTCCTACTTTAAAAGCATTCAAGAACGTCTTGCTTTACGGGTAGACCACACTTTTAGTCCCTATTTGCTTCATTCTTCTTTCCTTTTCTTATTGACTTCCTACTCTTTTCCTTGTTAGCCGTGGTTGGCTATAAAAACTCTGCAATCGCCACGCAAAGTGGTCACTGGCTACCCCAGGCATGTATTGCTTGGAATAAAATAAAATAAAATAAATGAAGCCATGTCATTCTAGCACTATGAGGCTGGGAAGAGTTCTTCTTTGAAGGCTATAAATACTCCTCAGCAGAGTTCACGACGGCCCATCTACACAGCTTCACTAGTGGACAGGCAGCCCCGAGTCAATACTGGTCTGTTCTGTCCCATCAACATCTGTGTTCCAGTCGTATCTTCGCCCTCCCTCTCACACTGGCTCTCATCTTTTAAGTTTCTCGGGAACATCTGGAGATACAATGCAGGTCAGGTGCATGCCTGGGACAGTTTCGATCACTGCTATTTGCCGTTAGTAATGTTAATGGGACTATGTTCAGATTAATGTGGCTCGAACATATTGGGGCACTGCTTTGGTCCGTGAGTAATGCGGCTATGTTCTTATGAATGTGCCTCAAAGGTTCTGCATGACTGGGACAGTTTGATCACTGCAATGCCCCCTTAGTAATAGGACTATGTCGAGATGAATGCGCCTCAAACATTGTTCATAACTGGGACAGTTTTGATCACTGCTTTGTTCCGCTGGTAATGTGACTATGTTAAGAAGAATGTGCCTGGAACGTTGTGAATGGGAATAGAGAATGTACTAGCACTCACCTTCGCAGCGCTGTCCGTCACCCGTATAGCCACGGTCACACACGCAGCGATAGGACCCCAGGGTATTGCTACAGTTTGCGTGGTCGCCGCAGATCCGCTCCTCTGATCCCACGTTGCACTCATCCACGTCTGGGAGAAGAGAACGGCAAAGCCAGATGTGTGCAGGCATGAAAAGAAGCTTGAAAGCTTGATGGGGGCTGGGGCAGTGTGCGCTGGTGCTTAATGCGTGCAACAGAAGTCGAGAAAGAGTTGCAAAGTAAGTCAATAACAGCATTCGGTCATGGCCCTTGAAAAGGCCAGGCCTCTAACTGCATTATCCAGAAGCACACGAGCACTTTTGAAGAAGTGATATCCTGGACACTTTTTTGATTGTACCCATTCAGCGGAGGTGACACTCCAGTTGAACATAGTTTTATTGTTCTAAATTTAGCTTATCCAGTGAACTGGAAGACATGATTGACTCAAGATGTTCAGGATATCAACAATAGAGCCGTACTCTGGGGGAGGGAGGGGGGGGGGGGTGCGCCCCCAAGCCACACTGACAGCAAGCCGCCAATTGAGTACGTCATGATGCATTTCACCTCCCGCAACATGTGCTCTGGTTAACCAACAGCGGCCTAAAGAGCTCTATTGCTTACCCTGGCATGCGCGGCCATTCCCAGTGAATCCAGGACGGCATTCGCACACATACGATCCCATGATGTTGTAGCAGAGAGCATACGTCGAGTTTGCACACGTGTTCAGCGCGTCCACTGCACACTCGTTAAGATCTTCCCAACCGCCGCGAAAGGAAGTAAACGAAAAACAAGAAAATCACTCAGAATTCGACACAAGTAATGTCATGGAAGCAGTGCCATTTTTGAGGATGCAGGCCTATGCTAGATAGAGGTAGCAATACGATGACATTGCGATTCAAATCACTATCCAGTCGAAAGGATCCTCCAGTACAATAACAAAAATGAGAATATGGACTTCGACAATGGCTAGGGATTTCTTGGTCCAACGGTAGAGGTTACAGTGGTTATATTTGGGGCAGAGAAACTCTGAGAGAAGTCATCATGCCGTAAGTGATATTAACCCTAGACCCCATCTCACCTTCGCAGCTGTGCCCATCTCCACTGTACCCAATGTCACAGGTACACGTGTAGTAACCTACTGAGTTAGAGCAGTTGGCGTGTTGATCGCATGGTTCTGATTCCACTGTACACTCATCCACATCTGGCATTGGACAGCCGATGTGACACAAGAAAAAGGACATTCATGCTCAGACACCTCGTTCAATGAAACATATTCTTCTCTCCCATACAGTATGGTGCAGGCTGTGACGGCGTATTAGGGCTTTTGACGCAAGGTATGAGGCTCTTGATATACAAAATTTACCCCGCCGATGATGAGATTTAAGAATTTTGGAGAGATATAGGGTGATGGCCAGCGTGATTAAAGCATTGACAATGGACTGATAGCTGAGATTACAATTTTTGAGCAGTGGATAGGGACGGTTGTGGCTCGTACTTCTGTGGGTTTTCAGTGGATGCAAGAATGTTCACTCTCATGCATGTTGGTCATTGAAACCGCATTCAAATGCTTCAGAAAGAGTGCTCCAACAATGGAACAGGTACGACATGAGAGAGAAGCACTCAGCACAGATGGGGATATAAATCAAAGTATTCTGGAACAGGCGCCGGCCGATCTCGGACTAGCTCAAATTGCTGAGAGTAATCCAGCACAGACATTTTCTTTTCTTGATTTTCATCTCTTTCCCTTCTAAAACACGTGCACACTTTTGCTTTACCCATTTCCAAGTTTTTTCAAAATTTTAACACGTCAATAATTTAAAAATGAATTCCTACCTTTGCAAACTTGTCCGTTGCCATAGTAACCCAGACGACAAGAACAGAGGAAGGAGCCAAATGTGTTGTTACAGGTGGCAGTGGATGGCTCGCCGCAGTTGTTCATCGATGTAACCTTGCACTCGTCAATATCTGAACGATGAATACCAGGATCGGAACAAACACATGCATCACACATCCACACACACAAAAAACACATTTCTCTACATCACCCTGACGCAAAGCAGTTTAAATTAGTGTAGGTTCTTTTTTGGCCAGACAAGACCACACTAGAGCACACCACCATGAATCGACGGACAAAATTAAGATATTATAGAATTATTTGCAATTTAATGATTTTTGCGCCCACGGAAAAAATGTTAACACAAAAGGCGCATGCTCTTTTCCCAACAAACTCTCACGCGCTCATTGTTCTCCGAAGTCCACTGTTCCTGATTTCAGTTCTTGCTGTGTCCGCATTGTCAGTGGATTTCTTTCTCAACCTCGATTTCAAGGTTTACAATAGCGCACGGAGATGCCCCGTGCACGTAAGCAGTCAGCTCCCGGGTCCAGGCGATCCAGTCGCAGGCGCGCCTCTTCGTCCCCATATGCCGACACTCCAAATCGAGCCCCTGCGGCCGATCGTTCCAGCAATGCCCATGTGGAGCAGGACGATATCCCGTCCGCCGTTTCGCTGCCGGCCAGCTTATTCACAACTGGCCTAAATCCATGTTCCGTTAAGGCGGCCGTGTCGACGGCCCTGCACCCCCTGCTGGCTCGAGTTGAGCGCCTGGAGGAACGAATTTCAGCTCGTCAGGATCCGGACGGCCATGATCAGGCGGCGGTTCACTCAATGGCAGATTTGGTCCGAACTGCGTCCAACACCGTCACCCATCACCCGAGGCAGGTCGACTCCTGCCGCATGGACATTTCCCTCGTGCAACCTGCGCTGCCTCCAATCGCAGCGCCCATGATGAACACTCGTAAGTCCAGCTGTATTGCTCCCACGGTCCGGTGTAAGTTGCTTGAAAAGATCAAACGCGGCGAACATATTGAGCTGGAGGATCTCCTCCCGGAGAATGTGGGCGCAGGGTCCGAGCCCCTGGAGCTCAGTACCGCCAACGGAGAGGGCCGGCGTGTGTCCCTCAATTTATGTGTGACTAAGAAGCGCTCAGCTCACCAGCAAGTGGTCAAAGACCGAAAATCCCATTCACTGCATCCATGTTTTCCTCTTTAGGAGCTGCATCTGCGCCTTGATCCTTGAAGGGTGGTGGCGTTCCCCACGGATGTGGAAAGTCCGGCTTCCAGCCGAGTCTCACGCGAACCGTGAATTTTTTATTTTATTTTAAAGAAGCGCTCCATTGTCGACTTCACTGCCTGGCTGGAAGCCTACACAATCTGCATGGCCTGCGCACTGAAATAAGTGCCATTCCGAGCACTGGAGCTGGCAACATACCAGCACACTATCTGTACTGCCAACCAGCAGTTTGCGACCCCAGCTGTACTGAGGTATGACCGTGCCTTCCGTGCAGCGGTGGCAACAACCTCAGCTCGTTGGGACGCAATCGACCAAAGCCTCTGGAGCCTGCACCTGATCCGGGCACCCTGACCATCATATCCGCGCTGCACCACGCACCACAGCCGTGACCGTTGCCCACAGTATTTGGCAGGGCCACATGCTCCAGCTGGCACCAACACCAGCCGTCCTAAGCAGCCATTTCTGGCCGGGGCGGGCAGCACCCGCCAGATCTGCCTCGACTTCAACCGTGGCCGCCCATGCCAACACCAGCTCTGTGAACGCTTGCACGTCGGCTCAACCTGCGGCGACCGAGGTCATCCCGCCGCCCGCTGCACATAACGACGGTTGCCGAGGACCCCGCCAGATGGACAAGCCCGTCGAATCGAAGTAGTCTCCCCACGCCTCTGTACATAGCCCGTCTAATGACTCTTTTGCCTCGTATATTCTGACTTTATCCTTAATGGCTTGCAACTCGGGTTCCCCACTGGCCACTCTGGTGCTTCTGTATCTATCATCTCCGGTAACCTCCCAACTGCCTTTGAGCATGCTCCGTTGGTACAACAACAAATTGCTCAGCGGGTTCGACGTGATGAATCGGCCGGTCCTTTCTCTGTCCACCCATTCCACCCATTTGTATGCTCTCCGCTCGGCGTAGTGCCCAGGAACAACGGGAAATTCCGCCTCGCCCTGATCGTATGTCTGTCAATGATGGAATAAACAAGGACTCGTTATCCCTACATTATGTCACAGTGGACGATGCCATTGAGCTTCTGCAACGTCACGGTACTGGTGCCTTGATGGCGAAGCTCGACATACGCAATGCATTTCGACTGGTCCCTGTCGCACCCACTGCATACCATTTGTTGGGTTTCCAGTGGCAGGGCCAATTCTTCTACGACAAAGTACTGCCATTCGGGCTGAGGTCTGCACCCTACTTGTTTAACTGCATTGCTGACGCACTTTGCCAGATAAGCTGTGAACTGTTCCAGGTTCCTCACCTCCTGCACCTTCTGGACGACTTCTGGCTCTGTGGCACTGCAAACTCAACGCTATGTGCGCAGTGTCTGAACGTAGTCCTCTCTGTATTCCGCTACCTGGGAGTTCCCATTGCCGACGAAAAGACAGTCGGCCCAACCTCCTGTCTCACCTTCCTGGGCATCGAATTGGACTCCGTCCAGAAAGTGGCTCGTCTATTTCAGGACAAGGTTGACGACATTCGCTCCAGACTATTGGCCTTTCGCCAACGCCAATCCTGCCGTCTACGGGAGCTTGAAAAGCTGTTGGGCAAGCTGAACTTTGCAAGCCGCGTCATCACACCGGGCTGTACATTCATGCGCCGACTGTATGATGCCACGCGCAACGTTTCCAAGCCCTACCACCGCATCCGCCTCTCTCCTGAATGTCATATGGACCTGCTTTGGTGGTTTCACCTACTTGATGGCTGGAATAGTAAGTCATTCTTCCTCGATCTCCAGGAGATGCTGGCCAGCGACATCCTGATATGGCCCAGTATCTGCAAAAATGGACCTTAGGGTGATTTTTCACAAAATGACTTCTTTCTGCTGTTGTCATCTATAGGTATCTAGTGATCACATGGCAAAGTATTAGACTGAGCAAAGCAATATTGATGACCCAGAAGCTTCTCAAACAAGCATAGGTACATATCAGGAAATACAACAATTTATCAGTGTTTTCCACATCGGAATACTATGTGTTACAGTGAATTAAATAAAAAAAATAGACAGTGTAATAAATCATCCATCCAGTTTTTGTTGTAAAACAACTCTTGGGCAACCTCTGGCATAGCTGCGTGGAAATCTGCTATTGTTGTCCCGATATTTAAGAAAGGACGCTCCCAAGCTGTTAATTACAGGCCCATCTCCCTCCTACCAACTATATCCAAGGTCTGTGAACGCATCTTCTATGAATCTCTCTACCACCATGTCACCCCTGCCCTCTCCTCTGCACAATCCGGCTTCTGTCGTGGCGACTCAACTACTCTGCACTTGACACGCTTAATCCAGGATATTTACGGACATCGTAACCTGAAGAAGCATGTAGGTCTTGTCTTTTTTGATCTATCAAAAGCGTTCGATACAGTCTGGCATCGGGGCTTACTTGCTAAGCTCGAGTCCATTTTTCTAGTACGTGGTACAGCTCTGCAGTGGCTGTCGTCATATTTGTCGTCCCGTCATCAAACTGTCCGTGTCTCTGCTTCCTTGTCCGATCCTTTACCTGTAGTGTCTGGTGTTCCACAGGGGTCCATACTGGGTCCACTCCTTTTCCTAACTTATGTGAACGATCTGCCCTCTCTAGTTCCAGACGTCAGCCTTTTTGCTGATGACACTGCACTGTTGTGCTCTGACAGCTCGCCACCCAACCTCGTTACCTCCATGCAGACCGGCATTAACTCCACCTTAGCATTGATGGAAGCTTGGAAGCTGAGGCCCAACATCGCGAAGACCGAAGCAATGTTCATCAGCCCATCGCCACCCACTCAGCCGTTGCACTTTCCAGGAGCCAATGCTAACGTTAAAATTGTTCATGAACATAAACACCTTGGTGTTATATTCGACAGCCATATGTCCTGGTCCCCACAGGTCCAGTCAGTATGCAAGCCAGCTAGCTCCTCCCTTGGCATGTTGCAACCTCACTGCCACCATTTAAATGACCATTGCCGAAAATTGTTCTTTACGTCGTATATTCTACCTATACTGTATAGCAGGAAATTTTCGGACGGAAATATTTTCGGACAAAGCTGAATTTCGACCTTTCGTAAGGATTTTATTTTCGTACAGTGCTGCATGCTAAATACACGTGTTCGCAAGTAGTACCCATGTATAGTGTACATAATTTCACATGAACAAATTTTAGTGCGGAATTAATTTTAGTACAAAAGAGGCCGTGTACGAAATCGTACGAAAAAAAATTCCGTCCGAAAATTTCCTGCTATACAGTATTTGATTACGGTGACACAGCGTGGTGCGGTCTGTCTCAGGCCCTTGTTCAAACTCTGGAAATACACCAGCGTCTGCTTCTAAAAATCCTGTTTCGCAAAGATCAAACATTCTCCTCCCAACGTCTCTACAGTTTAGCTTCAGTATCTCCCCTCTTAGAGCGACACCAGCAACATCTTTGCATCCTTGTACACATAATCTTATTAGACCTGGCTCCCAAACACTTTGCTAAGTATAACTGGTTTGTGTCCACCAGATCAACACGTCCTTCCTTCTCATTACCCCGTGCCAATACCTCCCTGTTTCTGAAATCTCCTATCTTCTCTGCGTACACTCTCTGGTCTTTCCTGCCAACTAGCCTTAAAGCATGCACAGGCATTAAGGAGTTCAAGCTTCAGCTTCTTCGTCCTAAATAATCTCACCATTTTCGTCATGCCTCGCCTTGCAGTACCCTCTTTGTTTCTCTCCTTATTATTCAGTTCGCCGTGGTTGGCTACCACCCGACTTTTCATATATGTTGGAGTCAGTAGAGCGTCCAGCCCCTATATGATATCCAACCCCTATATAGAGTCCATTGGTCCAAAATCCACTGTACAGAGTCCAAACTTGGAATCAACTGTGAGCTCAAAGTTTAGATGGACATCACTCCCTGTATAGAGTCCAGCCAATTGGCTTCACCCCTATATGGAGTCCATTGGTCCAAAATCAACTGTACGGAGTCCAAACTTTGAAATCAACTATAAAGATTAAAGAGTCTTTATGTGGACACCACTTCCTGTATAAAGTCCAGCCAATTAGGCATCCCCTATCGAGGTCGAAATTAGACATAGAATCTGCTGTAAGCAGTGAATATTAACCAGAAAACGGCCTCTCCCTTTAATCATCATTCACTTCTCAAGATAAAAAATATGTATTGAGGCGCCACTGCAGCCACTTCATTACATGAAAAACCCTACAAACACCATCCTCAAATCAAGTGGTCTCTTCGCAGACGCTGCAAATTACAATATCTCAATCATGTAGTGTTGCCAAATTATTGTGCACGCACACACACATGCACCCACCCACACAACGCCAAGAAAATACCTAGAAAAAAAACAAGAATCGAAAGAGAATAATGGAGAGCCCAGGATTAATTATTTGTTTTCAAATTATTGCACACACACACACACACACACACACACACACACACACACACACACACACACACAAACTTATACAACGCCAAGAAAACACCAAGAAAAGAGTAGAGACACAATACACACGCAACTCCAACAGCCATGCAAACGTCAACCCATTTACACGTAAAGTCAAGAGGGATAACAAATAATTATACGAAACGAATGCATACGGGGACGGGTACACGCACGTTTACATACACGTAGTAGTGTAAGAGAGTAACATAGTGCAGTGGTCAGCATAATACTGGCACATGCTGAGAGTGCAATAGCAAGCTTCACCATTGCCCATGACCATGCAAATGTTCAGCAGCACTCAGTTCCGCAAGCTTCTGAAGATCAGCACACCTGCAACAAATAGATAGCACAAGGATACGCTTATTACCGTTATGATGCATGGGAGCACACAACTACCAAGTTCTCAACGAATGTGATGCTCAATGAAAATCAATCCACTCAAAGACCTGTGAACAGGTGACGGTGGGGACAATAATCTATTAGTAATACGAGGAATAAGATCGTTTGTGCACACTCAAGACGCACAGACACACCAACATACATGTAGTGTACACAGTGTTTCACTTCACTGCAACTAAATTGAAATGAGATGATTTGAACAATCTGTACAGCGTTGCCGTCAGTCAGTCTTCCCCAAGATGGAAATGCAATGATTTGTTGTCACGAGGCAGTTTCACTGACACAATGTCATGTTCGTGACATCAAAACGGTTACTTCAGGGAATACGAGTATTAGCTTGAGAAGCTTGTTCTTGTCATTGGCATACAAGCAATCCTCCTACTACTACTAGTACATGTACACTGGCACTGCGTTTGTGGATCCCATTGTATTTGACATCATACTAGAGGAAGAGTGCCGTGGAGTTTCACATAATTCTCACAGGGATAAAAATACATTTCTCATGAAATAATAATAATTATAATAATTGATGATATCTAGACGATCGTATACGATTCATACAAAGTCCTTGCAGTCCTTGAGGACTATAACGAAGTGGTTGATTACTTTTAGGGCATTTATTCAAGCAACATCAAACAAACGCGATACGCTCCTTGAAAATAGAAAAAAATTCAAGCATAACGACAGAACAGCAGACCAATCGAAACGAGTAAAAGCTTCCTTACCTCAGTCATCGTCCTGCCATGTAGTTGGACAGCCTTTTGACACGGTGGTACAGGCAGCTCTTGTCCAGTCAAACAGGGGAGGGGTATCCTTGTGGCGTCGAACGAACGAGAGTGTCAGTGTATCTGACTCGTCAGATTGGAACTATGCTGAACTTTTCTCTTTCTCCGCTTTCTGCTTTCATCCCTCGCTCTGATGAAACCGTTCAAACGTCTTACTGGCAGCAATGGCCAGCCAAACATGGGATCCTTGTGGCGTCGAACGAAAGAGAGTGTCAGTGTACCTGACTGGTCAGATTTGAACTGTGCTGAACTTTTCTCGTTCTGCAATTTCTGCTTTCATCCCGCGCACTGATGAAACGTCTTCAGAGAACCACAAGACGCTTTCCAGATTTGATTTTGAACGTCTTCTTATCCTCCGTGGTTACCTCGAGACAGATTACTGTCAGCAACTGCACAGCAGAACTGGCAGCCATGGCTGAAGTGAAGAAAGGAATGCGCTGCCACGAGGCAAGCAAAACTGAAAATGTGTTTGTTCTCTTTCGGGTACAACACACAGGACGGCGTGACTGGATAAACTGGACTCCTGGACTGTGAATAGGGGACCTGTAGAAAAAGTGTACTCCTTATAGGGGATTGCGCGGCAGGATGAAGCTGATCAAAACTGAGTGGACTCCTGGACTCTGTATAGTGGATGTTGGACCAATGGACTCTATATAGGGTGCTGGACATCATATAGTGCATGGACTCTATACTGAGTCCTACATATATATTGGCAGTCTTCTGACGAGCCAGGAGATGTTGAATTAATAAATAAATAAAATAAATAAAGAGCATGGATGGCCTTGATCCTCATCACTGCATACCAATGAAAACTGCTTTAACGCCATCCCAAGTCTGCTGAAAATCCACAGAAGTGCAGAACAGGAGGGAGGGTGGCTACAACTACACCTGGAGTCCCAGTCTGTGCATCCCACAGGGAATACGACACAGGCACAACATTCTAACACCCCACACTTCATCTCATACACGATTTAGAGGTGGTCCATCACTGCTGCACCTCTGTGAAATTTGAGCTCTGTGGGAACTGGCTGCATGCGCGTCAGTGCGCCATGATTCCAGCACTGAGCGCAGAGAGTTCGTAGCTCATCAATCAATGTTCAGCTCTTGCCCCATCCAAGGCAAGGGGTTTGGTGTTCACCACGGACTCCAGTGTGGGAGCCTGGGAAATTGATTCAGATCATGTCACTAGCGGCAGCGCTCTTTCGTCCTGATTCGAGTTGATCCAGGGCGTTTCAGTTCGTTTACCTCTGTTGCCGTCGCCTCACTAGTTTCTCTTCGTTGAGTATTTCTCCTGAGCGGAGCTGTACTAAGTTCAGAAGGGCCCTACAAGAATTTTCAGATGTCAGAAAGTACTTTTGCCAGCAGAGAGCTCTTTTGGCGGAGCGCCTAAATCGAGTTGAAATTATTGTCGCTAAATAGGAATTGCGCGTCGACAAAAATATCTTCTGGAAACTGTCGTCGTTCTCTATCAGACGGGACGATTCCTGCCTAGGGCATCCAACGACTTCTGGCGGAGCCGGACGGCAGCTAGCTGGCCATCGTGAGCGAACTCTCCTGCTACTGGGACGATCAAAAGCATTCATTGTTGCGATGAACTAATTATTTTTTGTTTGATTGTGCAGAGCGCGAAGCAAGAGTTTTTTGCCGTTGCAGAAAATGACTTATTCTGAAAAAAATTATTTTCACCCGAGGGTCGATTCTCACTGATACTGGGCCATATAAACTGAAGCATCTGGCGCAATCGGGCATTGCGCAGCTCACGGCACGCATTGGTTCGATGACACCTGGTCCCCGCAACACACTCCACTCTGCATTACGTTCAAGGAGCTGTATCCCATCTGCATTGCATGTGCTACGTGCGGCCAGCAGTGGTGTCGCAAGCGTATCCGCTTCCATAACGACAACGAAGCTGTCGCCGCTGTTTTCAAGTCTAGCACCAGTCGCTGCCCTAATGTGATGTCACTCCTATGGCAGCTCTTCTTCACCAAGGGTAACTTTATGGTCACCGCCCGTCACATACCTAGAACTACCAACATCCTTGCTGACGCTCTCTCCAGGCAACTTTTCAAGCGATTCATTCGTGCCACCCTACCGCCGCTCACTTGCCCACTCCCGTGCGTGCTCTTCCGTTCATTCCTGGGGAGACTTGGGCCGTGCCTTGCACTGCAGTGTGACGGAAGTCCACATGCAAACTGCCATGAAAGCTGGCAGCACCGGTCCTGGGTAAGCGCTGATCAGACAGACTGAGCTCACTTATTGTGGGTCCCAGAGCATAACTGAATGTCACCAATGTACCGACTGTACACTCAGTAACTCAATATCACTCTACTATTGTCCACAATCTGTGGCATCCCCTCTACAGTTAACAGTGAATAGTAGGTTCTCTATTTGGGGAGTCAACCTTGCTTACCAGGCTCCTCATACGGCTCATTCAGCCTCTCACACTGAGACGGCTCACTCAGCCTCGGGGCACTCAGCCTCGGCTCACTCAGCCTCGTCTCACTCAGCCTTGGCTCACTCAACCTCGGCTCGCTCAGCCTCCCAATACGGCTCACTCACCCTCCGCAGCCCGGCCCTGCCCGGCTGCCTCCATATGGCTCACTCAGCCTCCGCAGCAGGGCCCTGCCCGGCTGCCATACACACACATTCACACAGCTCTAAGCTGTCACTCACTCAGAGCCTGGCAAAGCAATTGACAAACCCTCCTATTCCCCATACTGGTTGCTCGTTGTGTGAGTGCGGCATGCAGATGCTTGTTTTAATTGCTAATTATAGTGCCAAAAGCATTATGCAAGAATACTGAACAAAGTTCTTGTCTCGAATTAATCGATAGAAACTTTGCTATTCGGGTGCAGAATGTGATGACAATAGATGAAAAAGAGTCTAGATGTGACTCCATGGCAAAGAGGAATATTCACCGACCTCAATTTGTCTTGCAATGGCTTGAGATATGGAACAAAGTCTTGGAATATGAGGTGGAATATATCACACTTCCAGCAAATGGGTTCCTTCAGTCTACCTAGTATAACCATGTCCCCTATGTTCCTATTCCAGTTCAGACTTCTTTCTCAAAGGCATCAACGAATAATAACAAAGAATTCACTGGGAGGATAGGCAGTGGACACACATCACTGGAGTTAGACAAGTGGGTATAAAATGAATTTGGTTTCGACAAGACATTGGGAACTCACCGTGTTCGCATTGCTCTCCACTCAAGCCCAGAGGGCAAGCGCACGTCGTGCTCTGCAGTGTACGATTGAACCGGCATGTTCCAGTCTGTCCACATGGCCAGTTCATGGCTTCCTCAACTTGAGCAACGGCTGGACAAGTGGAGTTCCGATCTAAAAGTGCACCAAAATATAGAAAAATGCACACAGTACGTGTAGATTGGTGTGGGGGGGGGGGGGGATAAGAAGCGAGTATTGTGGCTGCATATTGATCTTGTAAGGTAGCATTGTAGCAGTCGGGGAGGTCAAAGAATGGAAACAGATAACCACATGCTCGTCTGGATATCAGGAGATCATGGGAAAACAATTTATTTGGAAAGGCGGCAAGGTGGCAGCAGTTTAAGGATTGCAATAAACAGAACCAGCTAAAGCGTCGTTTCACAAAGGCTTTATGTGGTTTTATTGAGATGACATGAATAAATTCTAGAGAAAGTGTTCCTGAAAACTCAATAAAACAGTCGTGAAATAACGCTTCAGCTGGTTCTGTTTGCTGCAATCCTAAAACACGTTGTATTCATGAGTCAGGCTGTGTTTACATGAGGAATGTCAACCCGGGTCGAGTTCAGCCCGGGTTGAAAGTCTGTACGATAGACAAAATAGGTGAGCGTTCATATGAAGGCAGTTGACCCGGGTCAAATACTGATATGCCGCCAAAAGTCCACTTCTACAGTCCTGTATGGTTACTGTAGAACGGGTAATTTTAGCTACGTAAAAACACTAGCGAATTTAGTGATCGACTCATTTTCGCTAAAGTTTCAAGTCACTAATCTGTTGAGACATACATGTAGTAGTGCACTGGTGATCCGTGAGTAAAATCGCTGCAAATCGCTAAAATAAAATAAAACGTCGCTAACTGGTTGACAATGGGAAAACGCTAAAATAAATAGTCGCTAAAATTACACGTTCTACAGTACGTGAATACTTCCGCGCGAAATTTGCATGTGAATAATCATGAATAAAATACTCAAAAATGTGCAGTGCTGTTCAAACCTGGCGCAAGATACGCAGAGAATTACGTTAGTACGATTTCTCGCGCGGGTTGATTTCAACCCGGTCAAAATTTCAACCTGGGTCAAGCGCAATGCGTTATGTAATCGCGCCATTCAGTTTGTGTACATGGCGGGTTGAAATCTGACCCGGGTCGAACTCAACTCGGGTTGAAACAACTCATGATACACATCCTTATACGCAGAGGCATCATTGTCTGATGATTGGTTCAGCCATGAAACTCTGAGTCACAACGGAATTTGCCCGAGGTTTTCATTGCGGGCCTTAGTGTATTTATGAGTTATAAAAACATTTTTATCTCTTGTCCAAGGCAAAATCCCACAAATAACAACTCATCTTTTGAAAACCTCGAGCCAAATAATTATATAGGGTGTACATTGCGTAGTTTATTGTTTTCGTACTGTCTCTCCTACTCCCGTCTATGTCATTTTATGCGCGTGCTGGATGTGAATAAATGAGTCCTTAATCCATATCGAGTCCTGCAATAGACTCCTGTATGGCCTGCAGGCCCGACGCAACACATTGCACATCAACATCTTGGTGAACGCAAGTGGATGGTAACTGTTAACTTGGGGTAAAAGTACTAACATTTTCTGCTTGTAAAATTCACGATTAGCGTGACAGTTAGCCAATGGCCGGGTTTTCTGTATCAGTAGGAACACCGCCGCTGCATATGGATCAAGGCGCAGATGCAGCTCCTAAAGCTCCACTTTCATGCTCACACTACAGCTAAATAAACTTGCTATCATAACTTACCAACACAATCCTTGAGTTTGCTTGCCAGCTCGTCGTTGAATCCCAACAGCAGACTGAGAACGAAGTGACTGAAACGCGATATCATGCGCTCGTCCAGGCCTACTTCTACGATGGGAGACGATTTGGACAGGCGCTGCGCTTCTTTCTGCCCGGCACCCGCCAGCAGCAGCCACTGCGCGAGGCAACTGCCACCAACAGTCGTGTTTTGTACACTGCCTGCATCCGCTGATCACACAGTCAATCAAAGGAAAATAGAAATCAGATGGTAAGTCTATTATAAATCCTCGATCAAGGATTCTTGAAGACAAATGTTACGAGTTATTAGATGTCCTTAGCTACAAAAACGCTAACGTAAACGCAAACCTTACCGTGGTTCGGATCGTTCAAGCTAACTTTTCCCTTGGCACAATGTACCCTTATAGTTGAGACGAAGTAGTCGTGACAACCATGGAGATATGCATTTTCGTGGAACCAATGCGGGAGATTCAAATTTTGAACCTGGGATTAGTTTGCTGTCGTTCCGAACGAATACCTTGGCGATGTCTTTCACACTGCAATTGCAAAGGCACCAAGGAGGTGGGCACCAAGGACCTGGGCACAGTGAAACTCATTTTCGCTGCGCCCAGGTCCTTGGAAAAACTTTCCTAAACGCAGCACCGACGCGACTGCAAGGGTTCTCCAGCTCCAGCACGTCTGGAAGAGGCCGATGAATTTCTTCGTCAGGAGTGCCGCGGAACCGATCCTTTGTTTCCCAGATGGAATAGAGGGTGAAAGGCACCAAGCAGAGGACGCAGACATTGTCAACTGTAAGGCAAAACTCGCCAAAAAAGCTAAAAGTCACAAAAGGACGCAATCTCGACTCTGATCTTGATCTGCACGTGCTTTTGATCTCCCGCCAGTTACAAAGCAATTCGAGTTTTTGCATTTTTTGTAGAATGACGATATCGAACGTCGGCCCGTTATTTTGAGCCCTGTAACGTTTTTCCGTTACCGAATGACGTCTTTTGTCAGGGCTGGGAGTGAGTACCGTGAAAGTTAGCGTTATCGTACTTTGCTACGGATGTCTATTACTTACAGTCAAGGGTCCACCGGGACCAGATCATAAGGATAGGCAGCTCAGAGACATCTAACCACGTGATGTGTAAAGCTCGGGATGCCTCTACTGTAGCTCCAACACATATGTAGGAAGCGATAAACAACAAAATCTCCTTGGTTGGCGGCTCCCGAGTGTCGGGGCGGCTTCGAAGTGTTACTTGGATGTCTCCGTAGTCTCACACATTTATACACCAGTGTACTAGTACTCGAAAACGGTCTCTTGGCTACAAAATCTTCCAAAAATAATAAAAGCCCGTAGTCTGTTCTACTTTTGTGACTGGGTGTCGCATAATCTGACTGTAGAATTGTTTCGTTAAATTGCATGGTGCATCGTCCGTCCAAACTAGTAACCTACTATCCCCCACGTATCCATAAACGAGAAAATGGAGCCAATCTGGAGTAAAAGCTCTAATCACATCACTATACAAAATAATCTTACGTGTGGAGATAAAAGTTTAATAATAGCTATGGAAAGTATGAATGCCACAGACATCACAATGCAACATGACAATTTGTTCTTTAGTTCCGTATTTCCACATAATATTATGATCGGAGCTTACAAAATTAATAGATTCTGGAGACACACAATTTTAAATCTTGAATAAATTGTCATGTTGCGTGGTGATGTCTGCGGCATTCGTACTTTGCATAGTTATAACATTAGTATAATTCTGATTCAGTGAGAGCGCTGAATTGATGTTGGAAGCAAAGGTTCTTTGCGTTCCTATAAATAAATAATGCTGGTAGGATTCGCCATGTAACGGTCAAGGCCTGAATACAATTTTGAATTTTGTATTTGTATTTGTATGGCCACTAAAGTCACCAGCGACTCCAGGAGGCCATTCCAATGATTACGAGTACGAGTTGCAAGCGAATTCAGGAGGCGGCTCCGATGAGCACATTCACTTCATGAAATCCTTCAAATGTAAAACCTGAGATTTTCACCCGTTTGCACTGAAGGTTCCACTTTTTTGTTCCCTAGCAGTGTAGATGTTCTCTGCGTATCAACGTTCGGCGTGCATGTGCTCATACTTCAAAGTGCATATTGTTTGAGCTACTAACTAGAGGGGTTTCGATTCGCGTGATTTGCGCTTTTTTTCTTTTTTTCTCTACAAAATCTACATGTCTCCAGACACTGGGGTGAATAATAGAGTGTGGTGGTGGGGCCCATTAAGCTCCGCCGGCCTGAGGTCTCGGCTTCACAGCTCCATGCACGCTCTGACGTGAACGACTCTTTTTCGAGCTGAGGAGTAGTGACAAATAGCTTTCGTTTCACCGTTCTCATGAAGCACGTCGTTCCCCTGGAGACGCAATGAGAAGCGCGAAATATCAAAAAAGCAAGACCTGATTTTTGGAGAGCTCGGAGTTTGCACTTACGTGGCGCACATCTTCCTCCAACTAAATCTCCATTTCTCTAAATTTTGAGTTCCCTAGTCTTCAGATCAACCTCTGCCTTGGTCTTAGCCTGCACATAGTCCAGGAGCCCCTCAGCAATGTTGGGGCGTCCAGAGGTTTTCTTCGGTTTCTTATTAATGGCCGGTTGCTCGTTCTGTTCTTCATCGTCCACGGAGAGTGACAAGCCACCGGTTCAATCAGAGTCCGTACTTCTCCTTCTGCTCTTCTGCTGCGATTTACTTCGCAGCTCCATTGATGCAGCCACTAGGCGCAGATGCAGGAGACGCAGGCACAGGCGACTCTTGAATTGAATAGGAGATACTACAGACACCTCGATAGAGGGTAGATACCATGAAAACAAAAACAGATCTCCAAAAAGACAACTTCCTTGTCAAGCAGAAAGCCAACTGTAGTTCCTCTCTTTTTCTTCAGCCTCAAACTGGCTTCATTGTATCATATGCCGTTACACTCGAGCTCCTCCGGATTCCCACCAAAGAACTCAAAATCGCTGAAGCAAATTACTACCTATTTTGACAAAAATTACAGCCAATTCCCGCCTGATCGTAAGAGTAAACTCAGAACATACTCGCCTGGACGTCGAAGTCGGCCTCAGCGCCCGCCATGAACGTGCGTTTCGACGCCAAATTTTGGGCGGAATGCTGAACAACGTGAAACATAACCTCTCTACTGTACTTGTCAGTTGTCATCCAGAGCACAAGAGAAGCACGTCAAAATACCGTGGAGGAGAAATGAATGGACTCGCGGCCGTGGCACAAGTGACTGATCCCCCATTGCAGCATGCGTGTGGCGCTGTGCAGACGAGCGGCAGTGTCCTTGCAGTGTTTGCATAACTATGATGTTCACACTTACCCTGACTCCTGTTCGGCGCCTTCCCCGTGCTTTCTTCAGCACTGAGTCCCTGTGCATTCACTGCATTGTTACCGAGATTATTGACTAATACAAAGAGCAGCAGCAGCAAGAAGCCACTGGCTCCTCTGAACCCAACCATTACAACGCAATACTTCGGGACATAGACTGCCTTTCGTTATCATGCAAAAAAAATAGGGACTCGCAGTCTATAGTCGTTTTTAGCTGAAACTGGAGACGCTTAGCGCTTTATATATTGATAAGTTAGTTCTCGCTGCTTCGGTCCAGCATCGACAAAGCACGCTGAGTGGGTAAGTTTTACTGCGATGGTGTACCAACTGTGCCGCTTTGGCAGGCGTTTGACGTTTGGGCCGTTCACAATAAAATTATTACCGGCTACTGTGTTTACGCACGATCCTGATCTTATCGGCACGTAGGACGCCTGTCAACAGTGAGCTTGTCAGCATAGCACCCAAAGGACAAGGTCGTTACATGCAAAGCGCATTCATGTCACTGCAACGCACTGCTCTGAGGATCCAAGGGTTTCCCTTGCATCGTGTGGAGACAGAGATGAGCAGATGGTCATGACTAAGTGCATTATTTACAGTTGGCTACTGTCGGTTCCAGAACTCCTTGTTTACATCGACTGACATGTGTAAAACAAACCGCAGTACATCTGTAGCAAGACGGTATTAGCTGGAATATGACAACTTGGCAGGCTGAGTCTGACAGTTGAACAAGGTGTTGTGACGCAAAGGTTGTCCATTCGCCTCCAGTCGTGGCTGAAAGGGAACGCAAAAGTATATTCACATTTTTGTGCGCCGCATCCGCAGTCTGGTGTGTTTACAAAACAAAGTTGTTTACATTTCCCTACACTGCTGCCTTGCGAGCTGCTATTGTCAAGTGCAAGTGTGTAATGTCAGAAAGACGGTTCCATGGAGATCCAGTTCAATGTACCGTTGCTCACCTACAGGGGAAACGTCAGAGATGTGGCGGTGGAGACGAAGATGAGTGAACTGGCGTGCCATTCCCTTGAGACTTATACTCGTACACAGCCAACTGTCACAGTTGATTTATGTTCGTAAAATGGGCCCAGACGGATGCCGATTCCAGGTAAGCAAACCCGCAAAAGGAACGAAAGAAGAGTGGTTCTGTGTCGGCCCAGTCGATCGAACGGGCACGCCATGGCTGGAAACACCAATACACACGGAGACTCGCCCCGATTCAGGCTAAGGCGAGTGGACAATCCATAAAATTAATACAAACACAAAAATATACTTGAAGTACAAATACACGGTGTGGGAGAGTTCTGAGTTTGTATTTACGTGGCGTACATCTTCTTCCAACTACATCTCCATTTCTCTCAGTTTTTGAGTTCCCTGATCTTCAGATCAACCTCTGTCTTGGTCTTAGCCTGCACATAGTCCAGGAGCCCCTCAGCAATGTTGGGGCGTCCAGAGGTTTTCTTCGGTTTCTTTTTAATGGCCGGTTGCTCGTTCTGTTCTTCATCGTCCACGGAGATTGACGAGCCACCGGTTCAATCAGAGTCCGTACTTCTCCTTCTGCTCTTTTGCTGCAATTTACTTCGCAGCTCCATTGATGCAGCCACTAGGCGCAGATGCAGGAGACGCAGGCACAGGCGACTCTTGAATGGACGTAGGAGATACTACAGACACCTCGATAGAGGGTAGATACGATGAAAACAAAAACAGATCTCCAAAAAGACAACTTCCTTGTCAAGCAGAAAGCCAACTGTAGTTCCTCTCTTTTCTTCAGCCTCAAACTATGCCGCTACACTCGAGCGCCTCCGGATTCCCACCAAAGAACTCAAAATCGCAGAAGCGAATTACTACCTATTTTGACAAAAATTACAGCCAATTCCCGCCTGATCGTAAGAGTAAATTCAGAACATACTCGCCTGGACGTCGAAGTCGGCCTCAGCGCCCGCCATGAACGTGCGTTTCGACGCCAAATTTTGGGCGGAGTGCTGAACAACGTGAAACATAACCTCTCTACTGTGCTTGTCAGTTGTCACCCAGAGCACGAGAGAAGCACGTCAAAACACCGTGGAGGAGAAATGAATGGACTCGCGGCCGTGGCACAAGTGACTGATCCCCCATTGCAGCATGCGTGTGGCGTAGTGCAGACGAGCAACAGTGTCATTGCAGTGTTAACATAACTATGATGTTCACACTTACCCTGACTCCTGTTCGGCGCCTTCCGCGTGCTTTCTTCAGTACTGAGTCCCTGTGCATTCACTGCATTCTTACCGATGCTAGTGACTAATACAAAGAGCAGCAGCAGCAAGAAGCCACTGGCTCCTCTGACCCCAACCATAACAACGCAATACTTCGGGACATAGACTGCCTTTCGTAATCATGCAAAAAAAGAGACTCGCAGTCCATAGTCGTTTTTAGCTGAAACTGGAGACGCATACTGGTTTATGTATTTATAAGTTAGTTCTCGCTGCTTCGGACCAGCATCGGCAAAGCACGCTGCGCGGGTAAGTTTTACTGCGAAGGTGTACCAACTGGGCCGCTTTGGCAGGTGTTTGACGTTTGGGCCGTTCACAATATCTTACCGGCTACTGTGTTTACGTACGATCCTGAGCTTATCGGCACGTAGGACGCCTGTCAACAGTGAGCTTGTCAGCATACCACCCAAAGGACAAGGTCGTTACATGCAAAGCGCATTCATGTCACTGCAACGCACTGCTCTGAGGATCCGAGGGTTTCCCTTGCATCGTGTGGAGAGAGAGATGAGCAAATGGTCATAACTAAGTGCATTATTTTCAGGTGGCTATTGTCGGTTCCAGAACTCCTTGTTTACATCGACTGACATGTGTAAAAAAACCCGCAGTACATCTGTAGCAAGACGGTATTAGCTGGAATATGGAAACTTGGCAGGCTGAGTCTGAAAGTTGAACAAGGTGTTGTGGCGCAAAGGTTGTCCATTCGCCTCCAGTCGTGGCTGAAAAGGAACGCGAAAGTATATTCACATTTTTGTGCGCCGCATTCGCAGTCTGGTGTGTTTACAAAACAAAGTTGTTTACATTTCTCTACACTGCTGCCTTGCGAGCTGCTATTGTCAAGTGCAAGTGTGTAATGTCAGAAAGACGGTTCCATGGGGATCCAGTTCAATGTACCGTTGCTCACCTACAGGGGAAACGTCAGAGATGTGGCGGTGGAGACGAAGATGAGTGAACTGGCGTGCCATTCCAATGAGACTTATACTCGTACACAGCCAACTGCCACAGTTGATTTATGTTCGTGAATGGGCCCAGACGGATGCCGATTCCCGCTAAGCAAACCCGTAAAAGGAACGAAAGAAGAGTAGTTCTGTGTCGGCCCAGTCGATCGAACGGGCACGCCATGGCTGGAAACACCAATACCCACGGAGACTCGCCCCGATTCAGGCTAAGGCGAGTGGACAATCCATAAAATTAATAAAAACACAAAAATATACTTGAAGTACAAATACACGGTGTGGGAGAGTTATGTTGCATCCGTAGTACATGATAGTACCGGGGCAGGTGCACAATTTAATGTTTACGTTCTTTGCAGTTGAGAGCGCACGCCTTTTTGGGTATTTCAACGTGTAGAGGAATCACCAGGAACTGCACAATACATTTTACCCTGGAAACGTGAGGACTATCCGTTGAAGTTTTCATGGATGCTATAATTATATCAACATAGCAACTACTGTTTTATTATTTTTTTCAGCCTTCAGTAACATTCTAGAATGAATGAAAGACTCAAAGCAGATTACAAGAGCTGGAATGAAGACTACTGCGATACAAACAGACTGCAAGAATGCCAGAAAGGCATATAAAAAGGCAGAATGCTCGTATGCGTACATTGTCCATGGACGTCTATGCAATGTACATGTACATACATGTAATTGAAAATCAATCTTAAGCTATAGTGGCAGTTAGTTGCCCAGATCACTGGCCTTGTTCCAGCAGCTATCTGCAGCGCTTTGTAGCAGTTTTCAGAGCAATCAATTTGGATGTGAATGTAGTGCAATTATGCAGGAAGAGCAGGTGATGATGGAACAGAGGCGATCGCCACCAGAAGCAGCAGTTCTGAGAAATGATGTAAGGTTTGAGTTTCTCGACTTGGACTGTGCACACGGCTACTGCTGAATAACAAACACCGCAGCCCTATTCCCAAGCCTATCTATGATGATGCCAGTGCATTGGGCAATTGCCAACACGCAGCTACCTACTGAAGTCCGAGAAGGGTGCGACACAGACCCTCAATGAGGGATTGAACAAGTTAGCATGGTCGTATTTGCCTAACTCGCAGTTTGCATGTGTTTCAAATCTCTATTTTCACGATATCCAGTGGCCAATAGGAGATAATAGTGTGAGAGAAGAGAAAGAGTGAGGAAGAATTGGGTGGGCAGGGAGTATTGATTACTTTAAACTGTACGGGTAGGGGTGGTCGCTACAGAGTTGTGGAACAGCAGGGATATCTGGGATTTGAAGAGAGTACGGGGAGGGATTTCGCGAAGCTAGGTGGGCAAGAAATTAAGGTAATGAAGGGCCTTGTACAGGGGAGAATGGAGACAATGATCAGTTCTCGGAGTTGGCAAGTGCTAAGTACGAGAGCGACGTAAAAAAAACGATGGTAGCACGCTGCTAGCAGTATGCAGCGAGAGTATATGTGGTGGGGCATAATTGTGGCGTAGTGTTGTCAACATTGCTGTTCTTGGCTGTCCTCCATTTCAACCATGGCATCGGTGCTTTTGAAGTTTTGAGCACATTCTTCGCGAAATGAATTACACTGCTGGAGACTGCGTCCGCTCAGCCTTCTGCGATCTCGATGTTTCACCCACGGAGAACAGCCTTGCAAAGTGCAGTGCAGCAGCACAGTCAAGGAGAGAGACACTTATGAGGACCAATAATAAGGGCTGGGAAGATGAAAATGTGGAGACTGAGGAGCCAGCCTGTGGGTCTTGTATGTTTAGTGTGAGTGGCAGCTACCAATATGCAGGAACACGGGCCAATTTTGATAGCTGTTTTTCTCCATTGTTTGATTCATTGTTGGATTGTACGGAGCACTATCCTCTCGACAGCTGACAACCTGTTACTTAGGTTTTTTCTGCCTGCGTCTTGGACTGCTGGTTTTGGGCATTTTCCACTCCCGCATGATGTTTTTGCCTCTGGTGAGATTCTTGTACTTTCGCCTGGTGTTCTTAGGTTACTGGTAGTCACGTCCTCCGAAGTGGACTGT